GTGTATCCATCAACTATGTCAACTTTGTCGCCGAGAATGGTACTTTTGGCGACAAAGCAGCCGTTGGAAATGCTACTGCGTTGCCACAAGGATGCGCAGTCGGTGTCAATCTCATCTCATCTGCTACTTCCTCCTACAACTTCGCCCTTTACATGCCCACCAATTGGAACTCACGATTCATGGCCACTGGTAACGGCGGCTTTGGCGGGTTTACCAACTGGGCATACATGGGAATGTTCTCTCAGTACGGGTTTGCATCCATGTCAACCGATACAGGACACATCTCTGGGTTCGGTGACACCTCTTGGGCCCTGAACAATCCAGAGGCCATGATCGACTGGGGATATCGTGCAATGCACGGCTCAGTTGTTGTGGCCAAGGCGGTCCTAACTGCGTACTATGGATCTGTACCGGATTATTCCTATTACGTTGCCTGCTCAACTGGAGGCCGCCAAGGTCTTAAGGAGGTGCAGGAATTTCCCGAGGACTTTGACGGCGTTCTTGTGAACGCGCCAGCTTGGTGGACAACCCGCCTTGGTGCAGCAGGCGTGCAGAGAGGCATTCTCAACTTGCCATCTGATGATCCGAAGCACATTCCAGTCTCTCTGCTGCAGCTCATCTTGACTGAGATGATCAAGCAATGTGATCCACAGGACGGGATCACGGACTCCATCGTTATGGATCCTTACGCCTGCGACTTCCGCCCTGAAGCCATGCTCTGCACCTCAACAAACAACAACGCCTCAAGCTGCTTGACGCCGCAGCAGATCAATACTCTCCGCCAGTTGACAAGCGATTATGTCGACGTTGATCAAACTTTTGTATTTCCCAAGCCATCACTGGGGTCAAGTCTTGCGTTTGTAGCGAGCGGCACGGAGGAGCCATCTGCGATCGGCTTACAATACGTCATCAACATGGTGGTGAACGACACAGACTGGGACTGGCGAAGTTTCGACTTCGACACCGTGAAGCTGATTGATACCATTGACCCCGGCAACTCGACTGCCGATAAATACGATCTATCTGCTTTCAAGAACCGCGGTGGCAAGCTGATCCATCTTCATGGCCTTGCAGATGACACAATCAGCAGCGGGGCAAGCATATACTTTTACGAGGAAGTTTACAAAGCTATGCAGATCAGTCTTGACGACTTTTACCGTATGTTTCTGGTTCCGGGTCTTTTTCATTGTACTGGTAGCACCGCCGCGCCCTGGTACACCGGTATTTCGACGATTGGCGGAGCTACCCATGGCGTGCCGGGCAGCGACGATGCCGACCATAACGGAATTTATGCCATCATGCGATGGGTTGAAGAGGGTATTGCACCTCAGAAGTTGGTGGCTACAAAATACCATGAAGACAATGTCCTTCGAGGAATAGCCAGACAGAGACCTATTTGTCCTTACCCTCTCAAGGCTCGTTACGTTACCGGCGAAATTGATTTGGCAGACAGCTGGGGGTGCGCCTAGAAAGGATCGTTGGATTTCACAGACGGCGATATCAACAACACGGAGATGCGTTTTCTTTCTCTTTTTTTTTTTTGGATGGTATCGCATGGGACCTAATCATTTACAGTCCGAAAATATTCGTGGTATTTTGGCGGATCCGGAATTTGGACACCACTTCTGTATTGGACTAAAGGTAATTGGACGTAAATTAGAGGCGAGGTCACTGTTTATTAGTGCTGCTACCTTCGAATTGGTTATCGTGGGTGGACGCCAATAATGGACATATCTTTGTCTGGTACACCTGCAGCAGTAAGCGGAGAAGCACGTTATTGAATCAATATAGCCAAGGATTCCCCCAGGCGACTACACCGAGGGGCCATCGCTATCATTACGTATGGTCAGCTCGCTAAATGGGGAGGTAGATGTAACTCCATGTTCTCAAGAAACATGGCCTCTCATCTAGGTATCCTACCTGAATAAGCCTGCAGCATCCTTTGTGGTTTTCGCTAGGCCGCGACTCCGACTTCCGCATGCACTGCGGTGAATAGCTCAACAATCGAAGCATTCATTGGGCCATGTCACACAGTCACGCAGCACACCACCAGCGGATCCACACACAGGGTAGGTAGGTGGCTTCAGACCACCTGCGTTGCAACACTCCCCCACGCCTATTGATGTCTATTGATTCTTGATGCCCAAGGTGGCCACCAATGTATCAGCGTCCTATCACCTTCTAGAAGATCACAGGTTCACCTGCAGGAGGGCAGAGGAAGGTTTTGTACTTTGCAGTGGATGGAGACAAAATCCATTACACCAGGCATTGACGAATGATCGATGTTGCCAGCGAAGAAATAAATAACGACTGCTCCTATCAGCTACCCACACCTTTCAATAGTCTGAGTAGAATGCCACTCGCTTAGGGTCAGCTTTCATGTGGAGCTGAAACTTGAGTACAGCGATGTTCCCTCAACATTTGGCTTTTCATCGCGAGGTTGTGTGGACTTCCGAAAAGCACGAGTACGCGAAAAGTCACAGCCGAAAATACGAAACTCTGAGCCTTTGAACAATCACCAGCATCGTTGTACCTAGCAGCCTGCCGATGTGATTTCCTATTGTAATCGATGTGGCTGGATAAGAAGGTGTGTGATTGTCAGCACTTATGCGACCGTATCGTCTGATCCACTTGACAAGCGATGCCATCTAAAGCAGCATCGTGGCGCCCCAATTTCTACATTTACGGAAGGTGTCCAACTTGACAGCAATTGCATCTCAGAAATTTTGATTGGTACATGCAGAGGGAAGACCCATCTGACCTCAGCTGTGCTTGTTACATGATGTGTCTAGAGTATTTACATTAAATAGGCCTCTCGTGCCCCTCCTCCAGACTACGCTCGCAAGACTTTTGCATCACTGACTTTGAACTCTTGTCATCCTGCCCGTCATGAACATTGATTCATCAAGGCTATTGACGCTCTTCGTGTGTTTAGGGTTGGCAATATGCGTTGAGTCTCTATCTGCGACGTGTCAACAGCTATCCGCATCGACGAAGATCCAACAATACCAGGGGATTGAGATAGAGTACACCCAGGAACAACAAAACTATTGGTAGGCTCATTGATCCAGCGCTGAATTATTTTAACCGCCAGTAGGTCGACTGCTTGCAGCAACCTGAAGCCAGACTGTATCCTGGTTCCAACGAGTGCTACAGAAGTTTCAGCTATTGTCACTGCCCTGCTTGATAACAAAGAGCAGTTTGCTGTTAAGTCGGGAGGACACAACCCGAACAATTACTTTGCAAGCGTGCAAGGTGGCCCTTTGATCTCTACAAAAGGGCTAAAGGAAGTCGTGTACCACAAGGAGAATAATACGGTCAGCGTCGGTCCCGGAAACAAATGGGAAGAGGTTCACGAAGCTCTCGAGGGAACTGGAGTGACTGTCGTTGGGGGCCGCATCGGGAATGTCGGCGTGGGTGGCTATCTTCTAGGAGGTATCTTGATGTTCAACTTCGGCGCCTGCATGGAATGAGGTATCTAACGTTCTTCAAAGGGGGGCTCAGTTTTCTCAGCACCCAATACGGCTGGGCATCGAACAACATAGTGTCAGCGGAGATGGTACTTGCAAATGGATCGGTAGTGACCGCTTCCAATACTTCCAATCCGGACCTTCTTGCTACCATAAAAGGAGGTGGCAATGCGTACGGAATCGTAACAAGGTATAACTTGCAAGCGCATGCAATAGGACAGGTAAGTGCTGTGGTCCCTCAACCAGCGACTTCCCATTGGCGACAGAATCTGCTAATACAAGGGGCAGATATGGGGCGGAAACTTGGTATTTGGCGGCGACAAAACAGATGAGATACTCGCGGCGATTCGAAACTTTACTGAGAATTATCATGATCCAAAGGCAGCCATCATCGCAACTTCAGAGTTGACTGTATTGAACAGCGTCAACATCTGGATCTTCTTTCTGTTCTACGACGGACCACAGCCTCCATCTGGAGTATTTGACGAATTCTTGGATATCCAATCGTCGCTCAACACTTGTAAGACGAGGTCCTACACCGACTTGCTCAAAGCGAACAACGTCTTCGTCTTGAAAGGTAGTGTTTACACTATCGCTACGGAGACGACACCTCTTCCGCCAGCTGCAGCAGGCGCAAAGGTGATGCGATCTTACTATGACCATTGGTACAACACGTCAGCTGTAAAGTCAGGAGTAGCTGGGATCATTGCCTCGATGGCTTTTCAGCCCATACCGAAGTCACTAGCCCGGGTCAGCCGAGAGAGAGGTGGCGATCTGCTGGATCTTGATGATGGGTTCGACAGAATCATCTTCGAGTTTGATTACTCCTACTTGTTTCAACTGGATGACGCTGCAGTTGATGATACCATGGTCAAATTGTATACTGGTATGAAGTCTCGTGTTGATGGATTTGTCCAAGACGGCACTCTTCCAGACGCCTACAGGCCCCTGTTCATGAACGATGGATACTTTCGACAAGACTACTGGGGAAGATTGAAGCCAGAGAAGAGAGAGTTGGCGGAAAGAGTGCGGGCTTCGGTTGATCCAGAGGGCCTGTTCCATAACAGGACCGGGGGATTCAAACTCTAAGTCCAAACCATCCATATTCCAAGTATACAGGATTCAACCCGCGTATTTTCGTGGTTAGCTTTGGTAATTGATTAAATTGCGTGATGTTAGGCCGAACTTATGTACTCACACCCAGCTTCTCATGAGCGAATCATTGACACCTCATCGCCTCGGATTCTCTTGAGTCTTGGCATCTACCAAAAGGCCAATATAAAGTATAGATCAAATGACCTTTCCAGAAGACGTTGGGCAGGCTAGGAAGTTACGTAAGAGCTCGTCGTATTACGACACAAACTTCCTCCTGTGAAAGCTCTGGCTTAAAGTAAATGCGTATGCAGAAGGCTGCTTGATATTCAAAGGTTCTCTGCAAACTCTGCATGTAAATTTCCAAACGCAGATATACCTCCAGAGCCTCGTGCCGTCGTCTTAACTACATCAGTCATTGTCAAGATAAAGATAACCTCAAAGGGTGTATCTAAACTCCTTGTTCATACGATCAGTCATATCGCTGAACTCGACATCCTTCAAGTGGCTAAGCTCTCCTGCTTGAACAAATTTATCCCGTCGCTTATTTTCCCATATGTAATAGTACCTTAGCATCAACGTGAACATCATCGCCAACCCGCAGGTTACGATGATTGCTGTTTTGGCTGGGAGGTATCCTGGCGCAGACTCAGCCGTGAATGTCAAGGGTCCGATAATGTTACCAACACAGAAACAGATGAGCAAAGTGGCGTTCATGGTGACCTACGCTCTCCCGCATTAGTTCTGGATTAACAGAAAGACTGTCGAGAAAAAGTCCCACGTACCTTCTTGGTGTGACCGGCGTAGTTGGCACCAACAAGAGAATATAACAAAGGCAAAGTTGCCCCAATGCAATTCGTCATATAGTTTCCAATCAGTTTACCAGCTTTACTGTCCTCTGGTAGGAAAGCCATCAGCGCAGCTCCGATGACACCGGGTATCAGAAGGCAAATAATGTTGATAGCTCTTTGATTGAATCTCCCTGCCACGTTGGTAGCCGCTAGAATCGAGACGATACTGACTGCACCTGAAGGGATAGATAGAAGTGCAGTCTCCTTAGATGTGTACCCAAACCCCTTGATAATGGTGGCCTGAAACGAGGAGACGGCTCCATTGGGCACATTTGAAGCAATGGTGATGAGCGCCAAAAGATAGGTTTGTGGGTCTGTGAAACACTCGATCGCCTGCTCGCGCTTGAATCGCTTGTTTTCGATGCCAGTCTGGTTGCTTCTTAATCGCTCGATAGACCAAATTTTCTCCTCGCGGGAGAGGAAGCGTGCGCTCATCGGATTATCCGGAAGAATCAGAATTACCGTGATACCGATAGCAATGGTGATCAAGCCGCAGATGAGAAACATGATCTGCCATGAGGTAAAGCCGGAGCTGTGGTAGTGCTGAAAACCGAAAGAAATGAGGGAGCCGACGATGGTGCCGCCACCAGTGCCGAGATACCAGATGCCCATCCTAGGAGGCTGTTCTTGACGTTTGTACCACTGTAGACGAAACATTAGGAGCATTCAAGGACGTGAACATACGACGAAAACTGACCATGGTCGTAATGACGATGAGTGAAGGGGCAACAGCACTCTCAAAAACGCCTAGAAGGACTCTCGTCACAACTAGCCCGGCCCAGTTGTGGCAGGCTGATGTAGTTGCCAACACCGTACCCCACATGCAGACCATAATCCCAATGTATTTTGCCGTTGGGAATCTCTGCATGCCCCAAGCGTGAGGGAACTCGAATGCTAGATAGCTGACGTAGAATATCATGGCCAGTTGGGAGTATTGATCGCCAGTGATATTCGTGTCGCTCTGCAGCCCCATGACGTTCGCGTAGTTGATCAAGGTTTTGTCAAGATACTGGAGAATGTAACACGCAAACATGAGGGGAACGATTCGCCAGTCAATCTTGCGCTTTAAGAGGCGCTCATCCTCCGCTGTCATAGGTGTGACATCCCCGCCGTCTCGAAGAAATTCCAGCGCAGCATCAGCGTTCTTGATGTCCCTGACCTCTCCGACCAATACTTCAGACTGACCACCACCAAAGCGTGTGGCCTTTTCGACATCGATCTTTCCGTCGGAGCTCATGGTGATGGCGTGAGGAGACGCGGCTGGAACTTCTGGCTGTAGCAATAGTAGAGACGAGTGGCTCTGCCATCGTTATATGGGACTGCCCGTCGGAGCGCCTCTACTGATATCACGGCTGTCTATGACGCACCTATATCTAATGGGGTGTAAGGATCGCGTGGAGATGTTAAGCATGTTGGAGAACATCCCCATTCGCGCCCTCGATAAGTATGTGGCGATCGTCAGGCCGTTGCTGTTCAGACGAATCAAATGCTGCGTTGCGCCGAGAACCATGCCATTGCAGGAAGGTGACTGGGGTGTTGGTTGGGCCCGGTAGTCGTTATCTCTCAGTCCGGAAAAAAAGGACCCGAAGATATCATCTTATTCCCGATCGTGGTGCGGCAAAACACGTCTGAATGCCGGTACAGCCATCCTATCATTATCTTGTTCAGCTGATAGCGCAGCGCTGCAGTTGAGGGGTTGCGGGGAATGCTCGGTGTCGGCACTGAAGACCTGAAGCAGGAAGAGTTGTTCGCTAGGCGTCGTACTGGAGCTAGCCGATGGCGGAACAACACAGTTGCTTGTGAGATGTCTTAAGCTTACTTGTGTCCATACTAGGAACAGGCGACCAAGTCATGTTATCAAACAAGTATTGGCGCAGAGTTGTTCTGCATGATAGTGATATCTTGAGATATGTTATCAGGCTGCAGATGTAAGTATCCAAGAGGCGGCAGCCCACTTCGTGCTGATAAATGCTCACTTAGCTTCACTCGAGAGTTAGTTAGTAATATTTTGTAATGGACACTACTCCACGTTGGTCCATGACACTACGTTCTATACATCCGTCACGCTTCTTGGTCCTGCTGATCATAAGTAATGAAGGCATCGGATCTCAACTGAAGTATCGAGCGTGCGGTTTTGGTACATGGGAGTGGGGCGAATTCCTCAAGCGAGGCCATGACAACCGACACGTAGTCCAAGCCTTATAGATAGGTGCTTGAGTGAAAAGTTTCAATTACATTATGGAACGTTTTCTGCCCTCTCTGCCCGTTGTATTATGGACCTTTATGACCCTTGAGCACGCATAATCATTCGATATTACTAGCCTCAAGCCTTAGACACCGGAATCATATTGATTCAAGTCAGACTGGACTACGTAGTTCATCCAGTTGGTGCAGGTCTGGTTCAGCACATCCGTGTCATAGGTGATTTCCGACTCTCGCTCAACGATTTGCACGGCAAAACCCTCCGAGGTGTGCCAAGCAATGTGGCAGTGCATCAACCAAGCCTAAATCGGACGGCAGTCAGTGGTCTGAAGATCTGGAGGCAATTTAATGTGATCGAAGAGGTACTTACACCAGGGTTATTCGTCTTGAATGCGATGACCAAATATCCACTGCCTGGCATCATAGCTACGTCTCTTCTGGGAGCGTTTACCAAGGTCAGACGATCGGTCTGAGTGCTGTCAAAGTTACCGTAACCAGAGTCGAGAACCCAGAAGTCGTGGCCGTGAAGGTGCATGGGATGGTCCTGAGCAAAAGGCGAGTGAATGACCATGTACACCCACTTGTCAGCGTCAGGCAGGTGGATAACGTTTTGCTTGGTGAGCCAAGTAGAGTTCTTTTGCGAGATTTGCATGGCGGTGGGGTACTCCCATTGGGTATGCATGGAAGTCTTGTTCATGGTCCACAGGAGGGCGTTGTCTGTGACTTCAACGGCAACCTTCTCATCTGCGCTGATGTAAGTGTCAGACGCGTTGATGGCGAGATAAGGCACAAGGTTGGAGGATGCCTCATCCAAGCATGAGTCAGTGTAACTGTAAGCCGAGGTCGTGGGATCCGAGGTGGAAGAGTTGGAGTAACGAATGATACCCTTGACATCGTCAACAGCATCAGACTCGGAGCAGGACTCTTGTGCAATGGATCGCAGCCAGAAGTCGCCGTCGGTCAGGTCCTTAGCCTCCACAATGATGTCGTAGCGCTGGCCCATACCAATGCTCAATTGCGTGGCGTTGTACGGGACGATGGGGACAAAATCTGTTGCGATAATCTCCATGGTATGATTGTCGATCATGAAACGGAAGTGATTATCTGCGGCGGCGTTGACTAGGCGAAGGCGGTACCTAGTTCCGGGTTCGAAAATTGTTTCGAATCTAGAGCCCATGGTGTCGTTGAAGGTGTTGGTGCCGTTGATCAGACCGTTGACTGCTGTGGGGGGACCTCCCGTAGCAGCTTTGGTAACGAGTTCATCTGCCGTTTGCTGGATGGAAAAGTCAATCAAAAGTTCTTGAGTTCTTGCCAAACAGTCCAAGCATTCAACTCACGTGATACCAGTCGTTGAGGAAGAGATGACCTAAGTCGACGTCGTAATTTGCCGAAGCCGGTCCGTTGATAGTGATGCCACCAAAGACTCCATCCCATGCTTGAACGTAGAAGTGAGAGTGATACCAACCGGTGCCGTACTCAACAGCTCGCCATTTGTAGGTGTAAGTGTCGTTGGGGGCAATGGGGCACTGGGTGATACTAGGAACACCATCCATTTGATCCGTCCAATTCTGTCTGATGCCATGGAAGTGAAGACCGGTACCGTTTGTCTGAAGCGAGTTTTTCAGGTGGACAACTGTCAAAATTCAGTGTTAGCCCCTCGAACCAAGATCAGGCTTGTGTCCCTGTATGTGATTACGTACCAACAGTGTCACCCCAGTCAGCAATAATGGTTGGGCCGGGGAAGGATCCGTTGATGAGCTGAACTGGCATCTCGTATCCATCTGGAGCGGCTGTGCCATTCTCAACATTGAACCAATATTCTCTCACTACGCCTGTATCCGGGACCTCATCGTAGTAGTTTGTAGATAGGTCGAAACCTTCAGTCCAGCAAGCTCTGTTCGAAGGACTGTTGACGCACGTGGCACCGGAGCCAGGCGAACCAGACGAGGCAGATGAACTAGGCGAGCTTGAACTGGCAACAGCCTCGATGACTGGGGATACGTCAGCAGAATCACCGGCGGTCTGGTGTCTGTTTGATGTACAAGCCGCAGTGGCACCAGTAACGACAGCTACTGCCCAAGTGGCGAGAAGCTTCCCGCAAACCATTGTGATATCAAGTAAGAAACAACGAAAGACTATTAACCCACAGCCGAAACAGTGAGAAACGAGTGTTGAAGTCAACGATTAAAGAAAAGAAGTGGTTGAGAAAACACAACGAAATCTGCCCCGTCTGCTGGTCTCATTTATATCCTTTTAGGTTTCGATGGTCACTGAGAAGTTGGGGACAACTCTAAATATTTGATGTCTCCATCCCTCTCTTCGCAATTCTTTGGACAATTGAACCACTCCGCCTTTCATGATGCGGGATGTGGGCTTTGGTGATGAACAACAAAAAACGGATTTTGCCGTCGGTTTGGGCGTCTTGCGGAGCAAGATGACTGTCGTCTTGTGGGTGCAAACAGAGTTTCTGCCTCGCAGAGACTAAGTTGTCCCACATAGTACGGTGATTCCGCACCGGGATAACCTCCTCAGCCCAGCAGGCCGCGATAGATTACACGTCGACTACACGTCAAACCTGCCAGTGAAGTGAGAAGAAAGCCTGCATCGGTGGGGCTGTGAGGACGGGTCAGATGGGGATATCTATTTCCAGAGTGGCCGTGGGCATTATGGTTGATTCACCGTTAAATGAGATGCGGGTGGTGATGGATCTAGCCACTCACCTTAAGCCATGCAATAAGGCTGACCTGCACCCGCAACGTTGGAAGAATGACAGCCGCAACAGAACTTCAGATGGAGGATCCCGGAACGGCCCCATTTCTCCAGGGGTAAAAACATCAGAGCCTTCCTAGTCAGGAATAAACCCACAACTTTGACAACTCTGACTTGTTTATTTTGCTGTCTGTGCTTCCCGAGGGTGGGCTTCGATTGCGTTTACGAGCTCGGAACTGCCCCTCTTTGCCAAAAGAACCAACGACGATCACCGGGCAAGCGGCATCTCAAAATCGGCAATGTGGGGGGCAATGCTTAGCATCTCCTTGTGGGTTGGGTGTAAGTGGTAAACTCCGCGGTCTTTAAGGATTACGCCAACCTGGAAAGTCTCTGTTGTGTGAATCGACATCTATGTGCTCCGCGTTCTTCGTTGCTGGATTTCTGACTTAACCCGGCCGCATTCCTGTCCCCTCAGCCCCGATCTTGCCAAAGGCTCTTACCTTTAGTTCAGTCGTTACCAAAATGCATTTGTCCAAGGTCGGAGTTCTCGCTCTCCTGCAGGCCGGTCTCATCTGTGCCTCAGCCATCTCTCCCTCGTGGAACGTCAATGTCAAGCGAAAGGCCGAAACAAACGCAACACTTTACGCTTACGGAACGAACTCATCTTCATGGCCTATTGCTTATGGATTGGATGACGGTATGTATTCCAGTCATCCGTATAAATCAAGTTTTGGGTAACAACAAGCGTTGCTGACTTCACCACACAGGATATCTGTACATCACTCAGACCCCTGACGATGCCAATGCCAACCTAGTCCCGATCACTTGGGATCTTCCGTCCATCACGGGTGAGAACTGGAAGGTCAATGGCACGTTCGTGAACGGAACATCTGCTGGCTCTTTGACCATCACCGACAGCGAAGATAATGCAATGGGTCTTACTCAAATCCCTCAGGCAGTCACTGTTAACCAAACTACCTATGGGTGGGCGCTTTTTGCGACACAGCTGGTGTACAACAATAACTCACAGCTGGAAGCGCAATTCTGGGCGAAGCCATCTGAATGGGAAGACACCTATCTTCTGTTCTGGAACGCAGACGACCTCGTTTCCACCGGAAGTTTCCCTGTGGTCGTCAAAGGGGTCGAAAATTCCTAGAGTACGCATCGTCTGTTATTTGTTAGCGAAGGCTATCCAAATTCGCTATAATGCGTCTTTTCTCAAGATGGTGTAGGGCAAGTTGGTTGATGGACTTAATTTTCGTGCTGTGAAAAGTCGTAATTACATCAACTATTTTCAGAGAAAGGAGCTAGAATATCTATTTCCGTCCAGAAATATATTGTCATCAGTTGGAGTTGAGTCTACCTAGGTGCAAAGACACTATGTGAGCACCTCATGCATTGTTAAACGAGGATGCTAAACCTTCGAAGATACCAATTCCTACATTCAGAACTTGAAACGATTGAGACTCCAATTGGTAACAATATGCACTCTTGGTGGTAACAGGCGAAATTTTACTATTTCTTCTTTTACGATTACTTATATGTAGCGACAGTCTTTTCAGTCGTTGTATGTTCCAAATATCCAACGTGAAGTGAGTCTCCCATCCGAGGATCAGACTCCATGAGAAAGACACCTTGAAGGATGCCACGAAAATACCGCCCAAACATTCCATGCAAATCAATAAACGTCGCCTCTGTGATAGAGGTCTTTCCGTGCCTTACTCTACCATGCCATGCCATGCCACTTCCCGCTTATGGGGGTTTCATCAAAGTTGCTGCCCCTTTTCCTCGGGTGGGGCGACAATAATGGTAGCAGGTACTTCCTCATCTGATGCGGTAGCATCTCGTTGCTTTCGCTTGAACAATCGGCCAACAGGCGCAAACATTCTCCCGAGGAATCTGTACACCAGTACAAAAGGCTTTCCGACGAAAACAGCCACTCTTTCAAACCAGACATCCGGAAAAATACGGACCAGCACACCCCATGGCAAAGACATGAGGGCGATCACGACGGAGATGGCCCACTGGGTTCCGTTGAGGCCACCCTCCTTGATCTCAAACACGCGACCGCCAATGAAAACGATCCCCACCTGAAGACCAACCATCAGGAGGTTGATGAAAATAAAAAATTGATTGCGGTGGACACCCTCGAGCACGTTGAACTTGTTATCGAGGCGTCGATTGTTGAATTCGTTGAAGATTTGCATCCAGACAAAGGTGTTGAAAATGACCGTATCGAGTTGCAGCATTTGATCCTCGCTATTTCTGTCGTAGTTGAGAATCTCGGGGCCGGCGAAGTAAAGGGTGAGTGTAATGATGAGCTGGAAAATAGCTTGTCCAATAATCATCTTCCACATCTAAAGTTGGCTGTCAGCTGTGTTTGCAGGATTCAGCAACGGAGAAAGGCTTACGTTGATCGTGATAAGTGGTGCATCCTTTCTTTGAGGGGGCCGGTCGAGAATCTTGTCGGTCGGAGGATCCGTTGCCAGTGCGAGCGCAGCAAATGTGTCCATGATGAGGTTGACCCAAAGCAATTGAACAGCTTTCAGCACCGGCTCCATATGAGGGTCATACATGGCTGTGATAAACGCCAAGAGGACAGCAGTGATGTTAACGGTAATTTGAAACTATATCGTGAACATTTAGCAACCTGGTGATGCGTATTTGAGTGACTGGGGGCAACAGCCAGGTGACTAGTCGCCTCAATCGATTAGGAACTTACTTGAAGAAACTTTTGAACGGCATCATTGACTGCGCGACCCCACTTGAGTGCAGTCACGATCGATGCGAAGTTATCATCCATGAGAACAATTGCGGAAGCCTCCTTGGCCACTTCGGTACCTGAGATGCCCATCGAAAAGCCAACATCTGCGGCCTTGAGTGCGGGAGCATCGTTCGTACCATCACCTGTGACAGCGACCGTCTCTCCGAGAGCCTTCAATCTCGTCACGAGAATCCGCTTGTCTTCAGGAGACGAACGAGCCAATACCTGTAGCTTGGGAAGAATGTTATTCATGTCCTCATCAGAAAGTTTCCTGAAAGCTGGTCCTTCCATAATCACTCCCTGAGAGCCGGTGAAGATCCCGCACTCTGTGGCGATAGCTTGAGCGGTGACGATGTTGTCGCCAGTGACCATACGGACTGTGACGCCAGCATGCTGCGCAAGCCTGACCGCCTCGGGAACACCCTCTCGGACGGGATCTTGAATTCCAACAATGCCGAGGAACACTAGGTCAGAAGGCGTCAGTAGACACTCAAGCTTGACGTGTCCATCTTCTGAAGGCATGTTTGTAGGCGGCCACTGGGGGTAGTCCTTGTACACGATGCCAATGGTCCGAAGGGATCGTCGAGCGTATTCGTTGATGGTTGATTCGAGAGATTGTCGCTTGGTGAACGTCATGGGCTCTTCAGTCAAAGTCTCCAGCTGAGTCTTAGATGAACAGTACCCAAGCATAATTTCAGAGGCACCCTTGACCAGCACACGATATCCCTTCGAGGTGTCGCGAAGTTTGATGACCGCGGCCATACACTTCCTTCCGGAATCAAAGGGAAGCATCTGCACGACTTGCTCATTGGCACGGGCCTCAGCAAGTGACTGAAGACCAAGGTGATCTTTCGCCAACTGTAAGAGTGCTGTCTCGGTCTTAGATCCGATGAAAGTTGCCTGACCATCCTCTTGACCCTCAAAGGCTGTGGAGTTCACAGCAACCGACTGAACGATAAGTTCCTTGGTTCCTGTAGGCAAGCCAGCGGCCCATGTAGTGACGTGAGGTGTCCCCGATGTCTTCTCATTGTCGGACTGGGACAATGCAGTGAAGCTAGTGGTGGAGAAGGTGCCGGCCACGACCGTCATCTTGTTTGTTGTCTGTACACTGTCAGTTGCTGCTCGGTTCATATCAGGAAGAACGAATCATACCAGAGTGCCTGTCTTATCCGAGCAGATTGTCGTTGCGTTACCCATGGTTTCGCAAGATCGAAGTACGCGAACGAGGTTATTCTCCTTGAGAAGCTTCGTTGTCGCGAACGCGAGGGCAAGAGTGACGGCCAGCGGCAAGCCTTCAGGTACAGCTACAGCAATGATAGCAATAGCAACGACAAGCAAGTCCATGAAAGTCGATGCCTTGTCAGCAGGCAGTCGGTCATCACCAGGAAGACTGGCAACGAATCTGAAAAGCAGGATGAAGAACATCAGAGCCGATGCACCTCCGCCGAGCTTGGCGATGGCGATGGCAAGGCGTTCAAGTTTCTTTTGTAGAGGTGTAGCTTCGATATCGTACCGTACAGACATCATGATCTTGCCGAAGCTGCTGTGGACACCAACAGAGGTGCAAATGTAGGTTCCCATACCTGCAATCTATCAGCTTATAAGTTTGAAGGATAGGCGGTAAAGATCGTACCTTCGAGAACTTTGGATCCTGAGATGATAAAGGGGTCCAGGTCGTCATGATTGTTGTGTTTAGAGTCCAGAAGCTTCATGACTTGGTCGCCAGCAGTCTTCTTGAGAACATCGGATTCACCAGTAGCCGAAGACTCGTCGCACTTGACTTCGTGTCCTTCAATCAAGATTCCATCGGCAGGGACCATATCGCCAGGCTCCAGATGGAGCACTTCGCCTACCAGGATCTCGTTGACATTGATCATGACTGATTTCCCGGAACGAATGACCTTGACTTGACGGTCATCCTTCTTTGTGTTCAGCCTGACGAATGCCTTCTCCTTCTGCCAATCGTTGTGGGATCCGACGAGTACGACAATGATGACCGCAGCGCAGATGGCGACGCCTTCGACCCAGTCGACAGAAGCCGGTGCGCCTGCAGGCCTTTCAACGCCGAGTGTCTCGTATAGTCCGAGGGCCAAAGAGATGACTCCGGCAACCGTCAAGAGAATAAGTACCGTTTCATTGAACGCGATCCACATCAGTTTCCAGATCGACTTGGGCTTCTTTGGCGGCAGTACGTTGCGACCGTAAACACGGGTACGGTCCACGAACGGTGCCCCGGAAGACGGCACATGCTTCTCTGTCGTTGGGGAAACCGGTTTGCTATCGTTGTGGTTGTCGACTGCTTCATTAAAACTGATTCTTGATCTGACGCCTGCTTCGTCGACACTGAGACCACTGCGTACATCGGTCTGAACGCCACGAGCAATACCTCGGAGCCCGCCGAGCGCCCTGAATGCTGAGAGGGACTTGGGGTTCAGCAATTTGTTGAGTTGGCCGGGGGAAAACGCGAATGGGTTGTTCTCCACGTGAAAGTCGCGCTCCGTGCCTGGGTCAGGCCTCAAAGACGATTCAATATCTTCAAGATCGAGGCTCGCACCGGCGGTACTGGGGGCAGCGGTGGTCCCGGACGGCGTGAGAAACGGATTGGACCCGTCCGGGGCAATAGTGTCGGCATCACTCGTGGCCCGCGAACGGGAGTCCGCATGTGGGGGGTTGGGGCTGAGAAACTTATCAGCCATCATGAAGGGATGTCATGTATAGCCCGGTAGAAAAAGAGAAAGTGCTGTCGAGCTCGAAAGCAAGACGTGCCGAACAAGCGGCGCCCAGAGAATATGAATACTCTTCCAAGGGCAGCTTTCGCCGGGCTACCTCTTTCAAGCTTAGCCATCCAACCTCACCTTCATCATAGCTCTCCACTTTCCGACAGAACGGCAAAAGCAAAAGAACTCAAACCCCGGCCGAATCAGCACTGCCACACTTCAAGAGACTTATTACTGAGGAACCAATATTCCTGATCCCATCTGATAAGCCCGAATTAGGTAGATTGGGGCCGGGAAATCGTTCTGACAAGCTTAAAGAAGCAGGCATAGCACCGTGTGTGTGGAGAGATGACCCGCCGGAATGCGGCCCAGGTCAGCCTCAGAAACCAACGAACAGCACATGATGCAGGCTTGGCAGTTTAAGAGAGCATTCACAGGAGCTCTGGTTGATGATCAAAAGTAGCTAGAGGTGTGAAGCTTGCAGAAAACGGGAAGGAGGAGGCGAGAAAGGCGAAGACTAGCTTGGGGATTGACAGAAATCTTAGCAGAGACAGGGGTGAACGAGGGATTTTCGAGCAAAGAATAAGCGAGATGATGGTAGGATCAGACGAGTTTGCGAGAAGAGGGGAAGGTTTAGCCGTACATGACAGACAAGAGTCTAGATGGCACGGATTTTGCTTCTGTTCCTCGCACTGGAGACAGGCCAAGAGTCAGGCAAAAAGAGGGGTTTCAAATCCTATTTGGCAACGGAAAAACAAAAGGTTCTCCAATATGTCGTCGGTGGCATGTCAAGAGCTTCAATGGAAGGTCAGGCGGAGCACGTGTGCGGTTGATACGACCTCGGCAAATCTTTCCCTGTCAACATCTCTCGTCACCTCCAGCGACATCCTGCTGGCAATCACTTGGGGCGGGGGCAACCCCACCCGATCAACAAGTGCTTCCAGCTTCCTGTAGGTTGCTCATCGGTGTTCGGGCGGAGTAAGCTCCAGTTCATCATCCGTACTGTTTCCCGCGCGCGCTTTGACTCAGGGGCGGGATCATGTTGCAAAGCTGTTGAATCGTGTGGCACTTTGTTCCTTGGCTAAAAGAGCTGTCGTTTCCGCTGGGGAATTTTCCTTTTGTCAATATTTCATGGCGCCATGTTATGACCATTGTCAAAACAGAGTCATCGCATTGAAGGACGTTCTCTAACATGCACAGCCCAGCCAAGAGTCTCGAAGAGCCTCACAGAGTCTGAAGTTGGCACGGAAATCTGATCTCCACGGAGTACGAGACCGGTCATGTCGAGCCGAAAGCCCCTCACCCGCTGATCACACCTACTACTGCATCGCAATAGAAAGCCAAGAGTTTGCTGACTACTTAGCTTCGCCATCTCGTTTTCAAAACTTGAGTCCAACTCTCAGCATGCACATATTGCCGTTGAATTGATGCGACTCTGAGCTCGGAAGTCACTGTAGCCGATGCGAGCTATCCAAGAAGTCCGGTCGGCAATAATTACTGGCGCAAGCCGGCGAGCGCTTACGTTGGTCGCCGGCGGGAGGTCGCAATCGACCATGCGGGGAAATTCCAGCCTACAATTGACTCGCGCTCGCGTTCGCTTCAACATGCACATCAATTTTGACCGCCAATTCAATCGGTGGTATTCTACGGTAGACAGTGTCAACGCCAACTGCAGACATGCCAATCCAGTTTGCTGTACGGCGCGGGATCTTTGTCGCCTCAATTGCGGCTCTCTGTCTCAACCTACTCTAGGTAGTATTATACGCTGCTGCCTATCGCATGTAGAGACGAGTTCAGAATTTCTTGAATGTAGGGGCCCTTACCATCCGTTTTGAACTGTGTTTCCTCGGCCTTAAGCACGACCATCGATGACAAGCTTTTTCATTTTGAGCCTTAGCGTAACTCAGGTCTTAACAACACGCACTCAGAAGACATTCGAAATCATGGCATTAGCAGCAGTATCAACGACAGCTTTTCGTTGAAGCATTTAGAACTGCTCTTCAAGGGCTCAGAACCAGTTCAATCATCAATGCGGGCCGATCAACGAGGTATAACGATGACCAACAACTTCTGGAGCTCTAATATTGTTTCGTTGTCTCGTCCATCGCTCGGTATAGTAACAGGATGAGCAGGACGTTGGACTTGGCCTCGACAGCAGCTTTAATTGGATTGCCATTGCTTTAGGCGACTGCTGTCTGTCTTCATGTTAGCATCCGGTCGGCCCGTTCACCTACGCTAGACTCACCAACGCACGACAAATAAATTGATACTATCGTGATCAATAGAGAAACTCCTGATTGAACGATTTCCAAAAATCCCTAAGCTCTGAGGGATGCTTACTTCTACAGCAGGCAAAAGCTGTTCTCGAATCAAGTTGCAGTAAGGCCCTGAGAATAAATAGCTACAGGTACCAACATGCTTCTAATCAAAGGAACAAATTTCGGGGTTGAATGAATAGGGAATCATGAGCGTGAACACATGAATTGATCGTGGGGAAGTAAGGTATCGAGCGATACGACTTGAATGGCGTCATACGGGACATGCGTTGGGCACTCATGTGGCGGTGGAGAAGGGAGTTTGAACTTAATCAAGGCAGGTGAACAACACACAAGTGAAGGAGTGGCCTCAATTCTTTGGTACAAGTGTGATTAGTATGAATTAGAAGCTATCAGTCGGTTCTTAAATTGAAGACAATATTTCAGCTGCCTTACCATAGACAAGTCTTGCATGTGCAGCAGTCATCTTTACTTAAGGTACCTACTCACCTACCTTGCCTGACACATATGTAGATGCGAATTTTCGATTTTGTCAGCGGGAGCCGCTGGTAATCGCAGTTTGAGCGTGTAGAGTTTTGTATTTTAAATTTCAGGGAGAGTACGTTTGTCTCAATATGTGTGGATATTTTCCGCAAGGCTGGATACTTCAACCGAGCTTTCCAAACCTCAAAAAACGCCTTTTTGGTCAAGTACTAATCTTAACTCGAATATTGCTTATACCACCCAAGACAATTAAATTGTCTCGAATCGCGTGATCGGCGGCCCGCCGGTCCTTTCTTGAGAACGAGTTCCAACGCGCAATCAAGAGCCGACTAGACTGGACAAATTGGGTACTTGTTTTTCTGTATCGGGCATAACGGATTAGGCACTGATCATATGAAAATTTCTCTTGTCTAATAGGTCCCTGAATAGCCACGCATCGAGATTGTGGAGGGAAAGGCTAGTGGACTGGCTACAAGCTTCAAAGTTGGAACGAAAACATTTCCTGGGCTATTGAGACAAGCGGGGAGTAGGGTAGCAACGATTCAATGGCATTCAATGGCATTTCGCTCGGCAGACAACGACTTAAGCACATTCCATTTCCGTCAAAAATTGCAGTCAAGTCTCATCATCTTGGTGCTGGTCTTCTTGAGGCATATCTCCTTCCCGAACCTCCTCAGTCTGTTTAGTTGGGCCATGATATGTACCATGGTGCTCCTTAGAGACGCTTGCTATCTTAAAACATACGATTTCAAAAGCTAAGAAGTGAAGTCAATACTAAGGTAGTTAGGCTTCATGAGACCCTTCACCTCGTCCTACCCATCGACGCTTCGTCGCAGGGGTCTAGCGCTTCTTCGCTGAAGAACGTGATTCGACCACTCGCACTCTCTCTGTAACTCCACAGTTCGAACCCCGCGGCCCGGACCAGGCAACGGGCGACTAGGGTTCGAATCCGACAGCTCGGTCCAAGGTCTGCTGTAGGCAGTATTGTCCGGTAAACACTCAAGACTCGGGGTCTAGACCATCAGGCTCTAGCCAAGTGTCATGGCCATCTACGCCGTCATAAATAAGCGACATACGCTCCGTCAGGCTCTTTGATCCCAACTCTTCTCTTCGCTCTCCAGTCCCTGTTCATCAAGATCCCAACCTCCCGCTGACAACAAGTTACTGGCTGGCATATCATTCGATCAGGTCTTTCCCAACTATGGAGCCTTCCAGCAAATATGTTGCGCTGGTCTTCGGGGCTAGTGGGATCTCCGGATGGGCCGTCACAAACAATCTGTTCATTTATCCCACAGCATCCACATTTTGCCGCATTATTGGTCTAACAAACCGACCGATGGACCTGTCAGGAAGCCAGCTTCCCAAGAATGATCCTCGTTTGGAGATTTACTCTGGCATCAACTTACGTGAGGACATCGAGACTATCAAGGAGCAAATGAAAATCAAGATCCCCGACATGCAGGACATCACGCATGTGTACTACTGTGGTCAGTATTGCAGCCGTTGACGAGATATGGTATGTGAACTGAGACGGAAAGAGCCTACTCAAATGCGACAGCATATTCAGTCGACGTCATGGAGATTCGTAATATCAACGTCACCATGACTCGAAACGCTGTCAAGGCGGTTGATGAGATCTGCTCAAGTCTGAAATTTCTGAGTTTGCAGACTGGCACCAACGTTAGTAATCTGCCATCTGCTACTCTGCTGTGTTCATTGTATGCCACTACCTTACTTACGATACTGAAATAGAGCTACGGAGTGGCTGTCTTCCAACATCAGGACAAGATTGAGATACATCCTCCATTGAAAGAGTCTCAGCCGCGAATTCCGTCTCCATACGGAGATGAAATCTTCTACTACGGGCAAGTAGATGCTATCGAGGAGCTACAGAAGGGCAAATCCTGGAGATGGTGTGAAGTTCGCCCCGATGCAATTGTCGGCTTCGTTCCTGGTACGACTTCAATCATGACGTTTCTTGAGCCGACCGCTCTTTTCCTTGCGCTCTGGCGTTATGTCCATGGGCCCGGAGCCGAAATCAAGTTCATTGGTACAGCTACGAACTACACCCACACCAACACAGACTCATCGCAGGATATTATTGCAAAGTCTCATATTTATTTATCGACCGTGAAGCCAGAAGAATCGAACGGGGAAGCTTTCAATACTGCTGATAATGCAACTCCAGTTTCCTGGGTGGAGCGATGGCCTGTCATGGTCGATTATTTCGGGCTGCAGGGAACGCCTCCAGTTGATGGAGCCCAGAGTGAGTCTCTATACCGCTGCCATTCCTCTTTGATATATCTTAACATATTTTTCAGCAACGTTTCCGGTTGAAAAGTGGTGGGAAGAACACCAAGGTGACTACAAGAGGATGTGTGCCGAGTATGGCTTGAAGCACCGTGATATACCAGCTGCGTCTTGGATATTCACGATGGGGGTCGGCTTTTCTCTCTTACAGAGAAATCGGGCAATGTGTCTGGATAAGATCCGGTCTGTTGGGTTTAAGGAAGAGTTGGGCATGACCGAAGGCTATCTCATCGCCTTTGATCGCATGGTTGCTGCTAACATTCTTCCCCCGCGGAAATTGATATAGACTTGGTAGGTTCAAGACCGCCACCAACTGGTGATCTTCGCCTACTATGGTACAAAATTAGACAACAGCTGGTGATTCAGTGGTAACGACAGTACAGTGGAACTCTGATATCTCCAGTGAAGCGCTTGGCGTCGCAGAAGATACGCCGGCTGAATGTAACCCTGTTTTGTGCACACACAGAGCTGCATAAACTCCAACCTCCTGTATCATTCACTACGAATGGAGCCCGAGTCTATATGTGTGCAGCGGGGCTTCCTGGTAAACCCCTCATAAGTCAGCTGCTCATTTTCTCATTTCGACCTTCATCGGAACACGTTGACGCCCAGAAGCCCTCGACCATGTCTCTTTGTCAAAATTGCCGTCAGCTTGATCTTGCTGACCTAGTTGATGAGGAATACGAAGTTCAAGACATTATTCTTCATTCTTCAATCGCTGATCTCGAGAGAAATGTTTCTGCGTGCGATTTGTGTCAACTCTTCCACACATCTATCACCGAAAAGCTCCGGGTCGAGGGAGTCAGTGTTGACCAAGAGGCTTGGTATGACACAGACTCGCCGGTTATCTTGCGGGGCACTCAGTACAAAGATGAGAAGTACGAGTCTCGGGGACTCTTTTGGGTCAAGGTCCGCTGCGATCGCCTGAGCCCGAGGGCATACTGCTATTTCAGCTTCTATCCCAAAGACGAGACGACCCGGCTAGAGAACTCCATCCTAGGCAGACCCATCAAACCTCCCGCTAAGCAACTCAGTCTTGTGAAAGACTGGGTGCGCGAGTGTGAAGACCACCACCAGAGTTGCCATTCAGCCCCTGCTACTCTGCCCACACGAGTTGTAGATGTTGGTGTCGAAGGAGTGAGGGAGCCTCGGCTCGTTGTGACGAGTGGAGAAGTCGGCCGATACATGACATTAAGTCACTGTTGGGGCTTACATCCTGTTATTCGCACCACTAGCGAGACAATTAATGGCCACATCAAGTCGTTGCCAATGTCCAAGTTACCTCCGACGTTCAGAGACGCAGTCTTGATAACGAGGTCACTTGGCGTTCAGTATCTATGGATCGACTCCCTCTGCATCGTACAGGACTCAAAAGAGGACTGGGAACTCGAGAGTGTGAAGATGGGCACTATCTACGCCTCTTCATGTCTGACTATGGCTGCCTCAGCGTCCGCAGACTCCACAGGGGGTTGCTTCTTACCGCGTTCAACTTCAAATCACGTTCAAGTTAAGTGTACTCGGAAGACGAACGATGAATCGGTGTCTATTCCCGTATTCTTACGACCTAGACCTCGTGACTTCAGTCACCTACCACAAAGCATCCTACATTCACGTGCGTGGGTAACGCAAGAGCGCCTGCTATCTGCCCGAATGGTACACTACGACTCTGATCAACTTCTTTGGGAATGTCGTGAATCTCGTCTGGCAGAAGATGGGGTACCGACGGATGCATTCGCAGTGCAAAAGTTAGTGTGGGACGAACGACTTCACCTTTCATACCCTTTTGCGCAAGGACGTCTATCTACATCAGAATTCGTGTGGGACTGGTACGATATGGTATCGGCATATAGTAGAAGAGGCATCACCAAGTCCTACGATCGGCTACCAGCGCTTTCCGGTCTCGCCAAGGTGATGGAGGAATGCACCGGGCAGCGATACCTTGCCGGGTTGTGGAAGTACAACCTGCATTATGGGTTGCTTTGGAGGAGAAGCGAGAATTGGCTTGAAACCCCGTCAGATGGCTTTCGCGCCCCAAGTTGGAGTTGGGCGTCTTTGGAAGGCGCTGTCATGATGCCCGAGATCGGAAACATTCTGCCCTCGGGAAACGAGATGGAGGTGGTGGTGAGGATTACTCAAGCAGAGACAACGCCACTCGGCTTGGACCCGAGGGGTATGTTGAAATCGGGATATCTGCAGCTAGAAGGAAAGCTCAGACTAGCCGATCCAAGAGAAAACCCAGAATCCCCGGGTTATCAGAGGTTCTCGACCTATCGGAAAGAGTTAGCAATTGATTTGCTCAAGGAGAATGGGATCATGGTCGGATTAGCAGTGTTCGACAAGGATTACTGCGGAAGTAACATCCTTCTCTACTACTTACAGGTGTCGAGAAGAGTCAAAGAGCCAAGCCGTTGGTACGGGCTCCTGCTAGAGGCAACAAGCCAGCCGCAAGAGTTCCGTCGTGTTGGCTTCTGTCGCACGGAAGAATATCCACTTCGAGACTGGTTCGCGCATGTCGCTGAAGAGATGATCACGATAGTTTGAGTATTTGTTTCAGCCTCCATACTTGGGGGGGGACCACATCCAGTCTCCAGTTAATACTGATTCCAAGAAATTATTATACGCTTCTCAGACACCTGACCTTAATGTGAATAACAAATGTCTTTGGCCGGAATCAGGTACCGTGGGTACCGCTGGTCACAGCATATATCATTGTGCCGAATTCGTCTAGGTCCTCCAGCCATGCTTTTACTCTTGTACGCCTGTGGATAACTTCAGTCTCGCTGAAATTTCCAGGCACAGGCCATAATTCGTCGATAGCCAGCCAACTATCTGGCCATTCTGCTCGCTGAAGGTCATATACACCTCTCCAGTCGCGCCTCGTTCGAGTCTCCCACAACGCCTTGGACGCCGGCGCTGATAACCCGCGTAACTCGGTGGCAAGATGAGTTGAGAGGCCGTCATGTGTCATCAGGGCGCTATCGAAGAGGCACATCGTGAACAGAGTTCTTCGTTTAGCCTCGGCGGCAATCCAGCACTCCCACCTGGGACGGGGCTCATCTCCGGAAACGCACGTGAGTCCTTTCTTCGCCACCGCACATGCGAGGTCCTGGGTACTCATCATGGCCTCCCGTAGAAATGGGTGATAAGCTTTCCCGAATTTGAAAAAGATGACCATGGCGTAAATAAGATGCGTTTGAAATGCTGCGAGAAGTGCCATATCATCGTAGGAGGCGTGTTGGCTGTAAAGCCTCGCCATCTCTACCTTGAGTTCGTTGGCTACGGCCTCGGCGCCTGCCACATCGGGCCCACCAAAGCTTCGAATGGCCCTAAGACAATTTGACAAGGGTTGGCTGGATGGCAGAGTTATCTGGGACCAATGTACAAAAGGAGGAACCTTGCGCCCGCGGATGGAACAATCTACGTAGGATTCCAGAATCCTCTGGATGAAAGCCGATATACTCGGCGAGTAGTTCTTTGCCAATTGTCCCGGTATTGGGACGAAGTTATTCAGCCATCGATTGGCAATGTCATCAGCGTTGATGGTGCAGACAAGGCTCATGTCCGAGAAGTCGAACACATCAGGCTTGAGGACGTCTGATCGATCGGTGTCTGTGGCCAGCAGTTCGCCCGCCCGGAAGGAAGCGCTCGTCTCGTTTGACGGAATGATTCGAAACGGCGAGAACTCCGCGTTCGCTTCCACAGTCGCGGATATCGTGGTTGCTACGCGGTCCGTATCGACCTCGGCTTCAGCCTCTGAATGCAGACCGGCAGCACCCGGCGCGGATGAAGGGATCGTCCGAGTCTGTGGATAGAGACATGGGAGGCCCCGCTGGTGGCACCGGGAACATGTCACAGCTTTCCGGTCACATTTGGCTTTGGCGGTCGCGCATGGCTGGCATGCCTTTTGTCGTGAGGTCGAATACCTGGCGGGCCGCATTGCTAGGCCAGCACGGCTATAGTAAATGATCGCGTGAGTTTGGAGAATTTGAGCATCTTAGACCCGGTGGGATAAGCCGGTTTCGCAACGAGAGCCGCGCCAAGTGAGTTGAAGTTGCATCTAGAACACGAATCTGCATGGACACCTTGGAGAGTTGGAGACGAGCGAACTTCCCCGCAAGTCCAAGCGAGGCGGGGAAAATGAGCTTTACGTAATTGAGAGACGACGGTGTCAGTTCATGTACTAAATGTTATGGGGCTTGGAATAGGCGCTGTAATGACACCGTAGATCGAAAACTGAGTAAGTAGAATAAGCAAAAATGATATTCGGCTCTGGGTATGATTTGAACACACGACCTGCAGGACCGCGGTGAACGGCACCTGCCGCTCTCCCTGCTGAGCTACCAGAACGTTATGTCGGCAATCATGTCCTTCAAAGAACGAGCGAGCGACTTGATGCAGTCAGATGGAAGGACGCAGCGTAGTTCCAGGGATTGTGTCGGTTGCATTGGCTCTAATGGGAGCACAAGCTGGCCGGGGTTAACGTATCTGGATGTGAGTCAACAGCTGTAAGCAAGCAGTGGTTCGCTGATGTAGCCTATATCTCTGAGTCCAAGTGGTTGAGCTTAGTTAAACATTACCAAGTTGGAGCAAGTTGTTCAACGAAGCCCAGACGTCAAGAAAGAATGATAGTCGCACGTTTGACAGAATGTTATAGTCATTGAAACATCAAATAATTATCGTTATGCTACCAGCAACTTTTACCACATCTTTTCCCAGGTTCTCCTAACGAAAGACATCTCAGCCAGTCTCGCTCTCTCCACCTCCTCGATGCCACCCTCCTCCCAATGACGGCACTCGGCATCAACCTCTGCCTTTCCGCTGATGAGATCTGCCTCCTTGGGGTGAACGAAGCGGGTCCTCTTCAGAACCTTCCAGATGAGAAAGGTGACGACACCAAAGATGAGGCCAAAGTAGGAGGTGATGAAGCCTCTCACGCTGAAGGGATAGAAGTTGTCAAAACCGACAAAGATGAGAGCCAGGATGCCCAAAAGCAGAGCCAGACCGGGGAAGTACGGGGTCCAGGGAGACAGGTAGGGGAGCGTCTCGGGAGGGAAGTTCTGGGCCATGCGGGCGCGGTAGAAGCCCATGTAGGTGATGAGCATGAAGGTGTAGGTCATGATCAGGGCGGTGGTGGTCAAGTCGACGAACCAGAAGAAGACATCGACGGCGCTGTTTGACGAGACAAGGAAGGTGATGCAGGAGATGACAGTGACGACAAGGACGGAGTAGATGGGAACACCGGCCTTGGTGCACTTGAGGAGGAACTTGGGGGCCTGTCCGTCGCGAGCGAGACCATAGAGAGTGCGGGAAGTCGAGTAGAGGTAAGCGTTACCGCAGGACCTTGAAAGCTGTTAGCATGATTCGAGAGTAAGCATCACGTACCAAGGGTACTCACCATCCAGAGAGGAGAATGAAGGCATTGATGATATCGGGAAGAGCCTTGATGTGGAGGTTCTTGATACCAACGACCCAAGGGGAAGCACCAGCACCGGGCTCGCCGCTCTCAATGGCGCCGAGCAAGCCAGGGTCGCGGGAGCTGCAGATGATGCCGACGCACAGAACACCGACAACGTAGAAACCGACAAGGCGGTAGAAGATGAGCTTGGCGACGCGGGGGATGGTGCGGCGGGGGTTTTGGATCTCACCAGCGGCGAGGGCGATCATGTCGGGACCGGCAATGGTGAAGGCAGCGTAGATGACAACCTTCCAGAATCCCAAGAACCTCCCAGTCGACCCGTCGGTGAAGTAGGCGTGGATGTAGTTGCCGTCGCCCCAGTTACGGAATCCATAGGCGTCGTTCATAGGGTTGCCGCCGGACATGGTGATGAGGGTGATAAGGCACAGGCCGATCAGCAGTATGACCTTTGTCGAAGCCATGATGAACTCAGATTCTCCGTAGTACTTGACTGCAACCAAGTTGACCGCCACACAGGAGACCATGGCCACGGCAATCCAGGCAGCCGGGTTGATATCCGCGTTCCAGTATTGAATGACCGTTGCGACAGCGCTGTATTCCGTACAAACCAACATGAGACCGGCGAAGAAGTAAGTCCATCCCATGGCGAAACCGAGAGCAGGGTCAACAAAGCGAGAGGCGAGTTCGAAGATGGTTCCGCGAATGGGCAGGTAGGCGCACATTTCGGCGACAGACAAGTTGAGCGGCCAGATGAAGAGGAGACCCCAGAAAGTGTAACCGAGAACGAGACTGAGAGGGCCGGCCTTGGACAAGACACCGCCAATACCGACCTGTCAAGACGGATTAGAATCTCGAGATAGCTGCGCTGCGAATCGCAATCATCGTAAGGCTATGTGAAGACCTACCCAAAGACCGGTACCAATAGAACCTCCGATAGCCATCAGCTGGACATGGCGAGGGCTGAGACCACGCTGGGTCTCGCCATACTGTTGAGCAACAGCAGCATTGGTGCCAGACATGACAGTCCCGAGCTTGTTGCTGTTGGTGCTGTCGGCACGGCTGAGGCCGACAGTCTTTTCTTCCATCCCTGAAGCCATGTTGGGCGGGTGACGGTAAGATCTGTTTTTTTTCTTCGGTGATCCGACGTCCGACTGTCTAAAAACACAAGTCGTCTAGGTATAGGTAACTGCTGGCTGAGGTCGGGTATTACCACTCGCAGAGACGCCGAGCAGATCGAATGGGATGCGACTGAAACACAACTCAACAACCTGGACGAGTGAGGAGGGCAGTTATTCTATATAGATGAGTTGGTTGTGTGCCCCTGGCCCGACGCTACCTTGCGTCCGGCGGCCCCCCTTCCCCTCCATGGCTAGCTTGCTAACCTTCATCTGACGTCTCCCGGTTCCTGGGAGAGAGACAAGCCAATACGGAGCGTTACGGAGGTATTACCACTGGGTATGTGTGTAAGTATGCGACTTACTCGGGTCGTGATAGACAAGACCAACGGACGGGCCCAAGTGCCCCATCTAATAGGAGCCCCGCAGAGATAAGCAAACCGCGCCAGGGGATGGTTGGCAACTGGCTGGGGCGATCAGAAGTGTGGGCGCGGGGGGAGGAGACTTGAGGAGAGCGAGGAGGAAGCATCCCTGCTTGGGGGTAAGGGAGGCAACGTCAGAACGGGCGATACCGACGACAACGGAGAGAAAGTCACCTCGTTGAGGGTATCTTGACGCGTTTCTTTGATCCATTCCCGATGAAGATGCCCCCATTCCCACGTTTACGATTAGCCGTCCAAGGGTTCCACTGGCGTACACATCCGAATTCCGCGCCTGGTCGAAGCATTGCAGCAACAGGCCAACGGCAGGCCATGAGCTGAGAATCACCTCAAGCATTGGGGTAAGAGGAAATCTGAATGTGATGCCGACGATAGCCACTGATCCGAAAGAGGAGACTTGGTGGAACAGATGGTACTGGGTAGAACAAGGGGCCCAGAAAATCCCCGGCAGTCGTCGATTGGGCGGCCCACGCATCAAGCATTTGCTGAGACTTTTCACGCCTTTCGCTCCCTTCAGTTCTTCCTGGTTGGCGTCGGGCTGACGTGTGCTCCAGGTTCTGAGCTTGTCTC